GAAAATTGAACAAGGAGTGCAGGCAAGTAGAGTGTTAAAATAAATTTGAAAATTCCTGTTCTGCACTCAAATGCATGTACATGGATTCCAATTGATCTGGTACTCTTGGAGGCAAAATATCAGCTTAAGGCTGATATTCATGGATTCACCAGCATGTGTACATGCCTGGAAATTGAACAGGGAGGTCAGGTGAGTACAGCGATTTAAAAGTACCCACAGAAAGATCCAGTTTTGCACTCACATGCATGTAAATGCATTTCAATGAACAGAATATTGGAGAAAAAATCATGTTAGGATTAGGAATAGGAAATCTCGCATACCTGGGCATGTGCATGGGCCTGGAATTTCAACAGGGAGGGCAGGCAGAGTAATAAAAAAGAATCTCTTGCATGATCCAGTTTTGCAATTGGGTACATGCACATGGATTTTGATTGGCTGGTATTCTTGGATGGAAAATATTGATTTAGGGTTAGGGTTAGAATATCTTGTATCTCTGGGCATGTGCATGGGACTTGAAACTGACCAGAGATGGCAGGTTCAATGAGCACTGAAAATGAACTGTTTTGCATTCATGTGCATGAACATGCATTCCAATGGGTCAAAATCGGTGAGGTTATTCTTAGGGTTAATCTTGGATCCCTGGCATGAGCATGGATCTTGAGAATTATCAGGAAGAGCTCTTAAGCTGAGCTGTCATAAGCAAACTACATGCATTCCAAAGGGGTGGAAATATTGGAGTTAAGGGTTTGGAAAGCTTAATACCCTGGGCATGTGCATGAGCCTGGAAATTAACCAGATAGGGAATGTTACTTGAGCAATCAAAAGGAACCACTTGACAGAGATAATAAAATCAAATAGTTGTAAAATCAAAAGGGGTGTATAAAAACCATCAAGTCATCTCATTGCTCCATTTTATCTGTGGACACCCATCCTGCTGCAGCCTGTGCCTTCCCATCTCAGCAAAGGTGACTCAACATTCTAGTTTAATGCATAGCTATGCAGGCAGGTTACCGAGACCTAGGAGGAGGAGGAGGAGCTCAGTGGTAGAGCAGATAATTTGTATGCAGCAAGTTCCAAGGATCTCCATATAATGAAGGAAAAACTCCTGTCTGAAGCTTTGGGGAACAGATGTTCACTGGGTTTACACAACACAAGAAGCCATGGTGGCTCCATAAGCCAGGGTTGTGTTGTCTTAAGCCATCCAGAGTTATTAATAAACCATGATACTTTGTTCAAGACGACACAACAAGCCACCCTTATAAGCCAGGGTGGTTTATCATGTTTCTTAACTCAGTCATTCTAATCAAGACTCGTCTAACTGGACCAATAACCTGACTCAATAGTACTGTCAAAATTTTAAATCTCCCCCAGTTTGTATCTTTTAGCAATTTTGTAGTAATCCTATACATACTTCCCTGGAAGTAAAACTCAGCGAACTTACTGGGTCTTACTTCTGAGCAGGCATAGTTAGATTTGCTTTGTCTTTCTTACTGAAGCACCCTCACTGAGATAAGCAGGTTTGGCACTGGTTGTGGCTTAGACTGGAAATCAGCAGGATCAGCCATGCATGGACTAACTAATAAATATACGTTGGCAGAAGCATGCTTAATTAATGATAAGATGGGCTAACTGTGCCTTTTGTGTTTCTTAAACAGTTAATTTTGGTTCCAGCTTTCATAGTACAGTTACTGCTCTTGATATTGGCCAAGCCAATTATTCATATCACATGCAGATAATTTCCATGTAGTCCTCATCCTGTTTAATCCATGGTGTTTTTGCCTTGTTGGCCCAGAAAAGGAGGGAGGGAGGTAGTGTTAAGTAGTTCAACACAGTGGATCACTTTGCATTCGAAGGGTTGTGAACTAAGAGACATTAGCTTCTTGTACAATAGTAATTGCCAAGCTGAAGGGGTCCAAAGCCAAAAAATGGGGTGTGTGTGTGTGGAGGGGAGACCTGGAATGCAGGGGAATGCAGCACCGTAACCTTTTTCAGAGCGGGAGCAATGGAATAAGTCTGGAGTGCCGAGGCAATTGATGCACTCTCTTTGCTCTGGCAAATGAATGAGGTGATGACAAGGCTTTCAAGTTGCTCTACTGCCTCCCCCCCCCATTAGTGTACAGTTTAAATTTAATTAGTTTAAATAGTAAAACTTCTTTTGAAAGATTGCTTGTATTTTTAATTAAAAAACAGTGGCTCTGTTTCAGCTGGATGAATATATAATTGTTTTGTCTTAATTTGTTGAAAGTCAGTGTGGTGTAGAGGTTAAGGATGTAGGACTGAGATTGAGATCTAGGTTCTAGTTGCTGCTCAGCCATGGAACCAAGTCGGTGACTTTGTGACAGTCACAGGCTCTCAGCCCAACCTAGTTCACAGGGTTGTTGCTGTAAGGATAAGATTGAAAGGAGGAGGAGAGTTATGTAAGCTGCCTTGAGTACCTTGAGAAGAAGAAAAGGCGGGAGATAAATTAAATAAATATATGAATTTGGTTTTCTTTTACATATGGAATCTATGTGACCAGAAGTAAGCTCTGGAGAGTTCAATGGGAACTTTCTCCCAGGTAACTTGCCAGTCATGTTTCATAAAAGTAATTGATAGATTTTGTTACTGATTTGTTTTGGGTATCTTGAGTTTTACTATAGTTTTTAACCAGATGTATGTTCTTTTGAATATAAATAGAAAAGATGTGTGCGCGCTTCAGTGTCTGTGTCTAGCTGTTTATTTGAATGGGTAGGCATGTTTATACATGACAAGGATGAGGAATGCATGGCCCTTCAGATTTTGTTGGACGACTTTCCTCATCATTCTTCACTAATGGTCACGCCAACTGGTTGTAGCAGAACTACAGCAATAGGTTAGTGGCGTTTCAGATAAATGAGTTTGGCCAACATGTTTTGATTTTTGTATTCACTCACATGAAACACTCCTAAATTGAAAAGGGTGCATGTACAGAACTTGATGGAAGTGAGGTGGAATCAAGAAATTTGTTCTTCTTGAGACCTGTCAGTTTCTACACATTTGAAGGAACACTAAATAATAAAGAGTAAAATTTTCTGTAAACATTCCATAAAGAAATACTATTTGGGCAAAGTGCTAGGGGATAGGTCTAAGTTTCTTTTAGTAGTAGTTATATAAAGTTATAGCTGGAACAGTGTTTTCAATTGAATACCTTAAGCCTTCTGAAATAGGGCATATCAGACATCTAAATAAACAAACAAGATTAAATTATAATGCCGTGTTGTTTCAGACAAAACACACCCTGCTGCTTTGTGCAAAAGTTAGTCTGCACTCTGGTTATGCTGAAGGTGATTATCTTTCCTTACTATGTAAGTCTTCTCAGATCTTGACATGTCACTTTGAGGGAGATTCTCACATCTTTGGAATTCTTTACCTGCCACGAGCAGTCGTTTGGTCAGACATATACCTGTTGTTGGGAAGAAGCTGTGTTCACTGAGCAACCAAAGGTTATGCATAACTTGTGATGGTTTAGCTTTTTAACCTCTTATTGTTACTCTGGTATAAGCCACTGCACAGTTAAACTATGACATTCTTTAAACTAAATTCTACAGATTCATTTGTTAATGTTCATTTATATCCTGCTTTTAGGTGGGGCTGTCAGTTGTCTTTGGTCCAAGGGACTGGCTGACCTAGATCCCATTAGAAGCCATGGCTCCTCCTGGGTTATCTAAATCAGTATTGAGGGTAAAAAAAAGTCCCCCTCATGGTTCATTGAGAGAGACAGGCAACACCAGCAAAGTCATTATAAAGAACAAACTCTCTATTATAGATGCACACTAGCAATATAAGTGAGGACATCTCCAGTGGGGACCAGCTGCTACAGTCATCATGCATAGCCAATATATACATTTAGCTTTTAAAAGCAGAAAACTGCAAACATTACTCAATAAAAGCAGGACACATCCATCAATAAAGGGAAAACATAATCAGCAAGAAGCATTCAGTCACTTTTTGTACATACTTATCTTGACTCACAATTACCCCTAGGACATCTGGCATTACAACATCTGCTCTGAGGCTTATCTTTACAACTCTGTCACGACAGAGGTTTGTTTATTTATTTCATTTTTATGCCACTCGATAGGCATGGCTCTCTGGGCAGTTAACAAAGGTAAAAAATATAAACAAGAAAAAACAGGAAGCAACATATAAAACAATAAAATGCTAAAACAAAACCACAGCAGCTGAAATCAAATCATTTTATACCTTAAATCGTCTTGTATCTCTCCAACACCAAGTATCTGACGCTTGTTATTTGGTCATCAGGAAAAAATGATTATTCTTCATCAGGATGAGCAGTGGGACCCACTAGCATCACTTTGCATGTCCAGTCCCAACTCTGGGGTTTTCATGTGGTGTGAACCCAGCAAGCATATTCCAGGGTTACATAAGGACTGCTTAATACTTGTTTAATCCACGCTTGCTAGGTTCACATGATACAGCCACTCCCAAGCAAGGGTTAGATAAACAAATGTCAATTGCATGCACTGCAAACTCACCATAGGTTAAGTAACTCATGGCAGGGTCTCTTATCCTTTGAACCCATAATGTACACACCTTTGTGGTTGCAGTCACTCTATAGAGCAGTGATTTTCAACCTTTCCACAACTGGGGACAGGCAAAAACAGGAAAACCACCTTGGGTACCGCTGAGTTAGAAACAAAAAGCACCATACACATAATGCAGCATTCTGTGTATTAGTTTCCAAACACGATACCAAAAAAATGAAAATTCTTCAAAACAACCAGAAACCAAGCAACAAAAAATGCCAACAAAGGAACAAAAAACTGAAATTGACACAGCATGGCTCCCAGCCTGCTCCCACTAAGCTGTGTCTCCCCTCTCTGCCGCCCCCCTCCCAGCAGTACCGGTGCACCCCGTGAACGTGATGCCAATCGAAGAAGAGGTGGTGGAGCACAGCCAGTCCCTGCACTGCTCTTTAGAGGCAAGTTATGATGAGAAACGGGGCCTTCTACAATGCTCTCCCCATGCCTGCTGTTCTGATGCCCTGCTGGAAAGAAGCAAAGACCTTATTGGTATCCAATAACTTTTTAAAAATGTAACATTATTTTTATTCAGTTATTGCTTTGACTTTATTTTGTTAGCTATCTGCTTATGTTTGTTGGATTTTGTATGGAACACTGCAAGTTTCTCTCCCCTTCCCACACTCTGTATGTACTTCAGATCCCATGTAGTTATTCTTCAGGTACACCCATAAACCTCTAAAGGGTTGGAGACAAAAGAGAGAGGTAGGCAAGTGCTAAAAATCACTTGGCAGTGGTGGTGGAACTGTTTAGGAGGAAGCAATCTAGATAGGATTTGTTCTGCTATTAAAGGACCAAACAAGGATTGACTTATATATCACTAAGTCTAGTTTCGGTATACAAAATGTCACAGGAAATAAAAGGATTAAGTATGAAGCAAAGCTGTTACTGCCAAAATAATTTCCTTCTCTAGAGAATGTCTCCTACAAATCCCTTGTTATGGATTCCATCCTTTTAATTTTTTACCAAGCACCTTGACTCTACTAGAATGGCAGGTTCCTAAGGCTGAGTGACATGAAATGGAAATTTATAAATTTATTTATTTCTGTGAGCTGTCCCAAGGCTATATAGCAAGGGAACGGCATACAAAAACTTTAAATAAATAAATAAAAAAATGGAAATGGACCAAACAGTAATAATTATTTCCAGTAGAATGCCGGAAAAGGTCCTTGTAGTGAACCAAGGTTTTCTTTTTTGACCATTCAAAAGCGACACACCATTTTCCTTGCCAAGCACTCTTTACTGACCCAATAAGCACTTATCACCCAGAATGACTCTGAGCATGCACAGAGTGGTTTGTTGAGACCAATCTAGAATTCATCTCCAGGAATGCTCCTTATGGGCATACCTGGGACCCGTTCCTTCAGGAGGGGCCTTCTGAAAGTGAACATCTCTCCTCTCCATGTGCTAGTTCTCTAATGGGGCCTCCCTCCTCTGCTGATGCCTCATCATGGGATCAAGAACCTAGTCTGTGTCTGACAAACTCCCCTGTTCAGGGTTCCCTGCTGTATACCTTGAATATTCCCAAGGACCTGTTTCCCCACGTCTCTGGCCTTGAGATGAACACCTCCACTTCTTTTATTTCGGTGTCTCAGCATAGCCCATACTCCCAAATTACCCCCATTTGGCATCACATTCTGATTCTTATGCATCCCAGCCAGCAGTCCTCAAGAACAAGCACTTATAGTAGCCATCCTTTTCACTCCTGACACATACGTCGCTGCCCTGTAGAACAACTGTCCATCAGAAGCATATGGAGCTTTCAGTGCTGAAGCCTTTTAGTGCTGCAACGTCACCACTCTTGGTGACAGCTGTCATTAAGGGACTGGAATGAGGTGCAGTGCAGTCCTATACTATATAGTGCATACAAAGAGCCAAGCTATTATTACCCAGTGCTTGTTTCCTGCTGTGTTGCATGCAGTCCAGAGATGTAGAAATGTCTTGGGTTCTATTCTTCATATGCAAACTATGAACTGGTTGCTTAGACCTATCTTTAGTATTGACCCTTATCTACATCAGTTCCAATGAACCAAAGGCTGAATTCCACTTCAAAGAATCCGTCAGGGGGCTGCATTGCAGTGGCAGGTGGAGCTGAAGGCAAAGGGGGCAGGACTAAAATGCCCAAAATACCATTATATTGGAACCCAAAACTCTTATGGCCCCCAAAAATAAACCCTAGGAAAGAAAAGCATCTATATGGTTGAGAGTGGGTGGGGGAGATACAAAAGCCAGGAAACCGTAACATGACTGGTTAGTGGAAAAGTGGTGAACATACTGTATGCTATGGAACACATCCCTTCTGTTCCCCCATCTACTGATACGAACACACCTGGGTGCCCCAGGGAGTAGTAGAGTCCAACAAGCTTACCAAGAATAAATTGAACTTTAGGATAGCATCACTTGAAAGCCTGCAATTTTAGAAGAATTTTTATTGAAAAACTGTCAACATTTAACAAAAATGGACACTATTTTCCATTTTATACAGAAATACAGTAACATCACTGTACTTAGTATATTCTATCACTAGAACATTATATATAGATACAAACAGAAATCCCAATAAACACATATCCAAATGTACTGATAAATAAGTAGAAAATTCAATTTGCTCTTGTCACTGTTATCACCTCAGTTTAACTGCTAAGATTGGAAGACATCTGCATAAGGATGGATAGGAGTCCAGATCCAGTCTGTAAGATTGTTTTATATATTGCTAGGACAAGAAACAAGGTCAATTTTTAAAAAAGAATTTAATATGAGTACAAAATATTTGAGAAAAATCAAGGCATAATTTTGTGGGTAGAATGTGGTGATTGGCAGTTGTTATCCACCCCTGCCATGACAGCCAGCTATGTCAACATTTTAAGTAGGATGACGTTTCCGCCCCTGTCCAGCCATAAGGGGAATTTCATTAAATTGCAAGACTCAGCATCTGTTTAAGTGCCATAAAGTTGCCAAATTTATACAAGAGTTAGAATACAGAGGGAATGAGTGGAAGATGGCTACTTATTCCTAGGTAGTTAAGAGTGCAGCTGCAGAAGTATTTTATGTTACTACATTAAACCTTAATAATGGAGAAATATAAACCAATGGGAAAACTGATACTAAGTATGCCCTTTTTTATTCCACAAAAATATGTACCTTTGAAATAAGAAAATCAAAACAACTGGACACTGGTGGAAAAGACCGTAACAATGGCATTCTGTCGAAGTGTTTAGGTTGTGTTCACATGACAGGCTTATGCTAAGCAATACTGTAGCACAGATTTCCAGATATCTTTGGAATGCACTTCCCATAATGTCTGGTCGGCATGCCTAATGGTCATGCTAACAGAGAATCATAGGGATTGCAGTCCAATGTATCAGACAGAAGACTGCTGTAGCATAAAGCAAACGTTACACTTGTACCACCCCATGTTTTCACAGTATCACTGTGCTTGAGTTAATGTGGATGCCAGCAGCAATCCTACAATGTCCTTGCATGAAAAAATGATCCTTTTTGAAGTGGTTTGATGTTTTCACCCATATTCCACACACCCCCATGCACCCTGGTACATAATGGTGCAAACTCCCAAGACTGGGGCCAGGATCAAAGAACAAAATTCAAACTGCTATATCTTTGTTAAATTTGAAACCCCTTCCTAATTTTAGTTGCCCACCATCAAGAAAACAGCTACATCTTCAAAGGGCAATTGTGGGCCTGCACTGAAATAAAAGCTTTCCTATGGATATGAATCTCTGTAAGCATCAAAAATCCCATCAGTTTTGAAAGTAATGAGTAGTGTAATTAAAACAAAAATAAAGAAGAAAAAAGTTGTAGCTCAATAAATACTTAATTCAGAGAAGTCCTGAATGCAGAGAAGAGTCAGTGCATATGAACAAGTATTTATTTTCATTGGTCCTACTGCACCACACACACGACGGTCAACATCAGAAACTGCAATCATGAATTCTATGACAAATCTGCTGATGCAGCTTGATTTGCTCACCTGCAAAAATGAAGATTCTACTTTGGGCCAACTATGTCAGTTGTCCAAGTATCATAAGCCAAGTGTATTAACAGGCAGGGAAGAGTGATCAAACATAAGTCACGTTAATTGGTCCCAACTCAAAACTAGTTTCCATTAGCATTTTATCTTATTTTTTTTTCTCTTGGATGGAAGCTTAGATTTATACTTGAATATTTCATTTATCAGAATGATGATTCAGTCCCTTAACCACCCTGTGAGATAGTTTAGGCTGAGCCTACGAGGTCCTCCAGAGAACAGATAACTGGTTTTGGAGTTTAGATATAGGAAACCCAAGCATGAATTAGTGCTGTAGCCACACAGTGCACTTCACCAATAGAACCCTTCACTGTCTTCTGCTGATGGTATTCTTCTTGGTTGGCACCCCAGTTGAAATGACCAAATTTACACTCTGTATCGGTGAGAGGGCAAGGAATTGAACTTTATTCATTTAATTTGTTCTTTGCTCCATCCAACAATTTTGGGATAACATAAAGATAACGTAAAATTATAATAGATGCACACATGAAACTTGCCAGTTAGAATAAAAATTCTGATTACCTGCTACGGACAACGATTTCGACAGAGAAACCTAAGTTTTTCCTATTTTTCTGCCAAATAATATGTTAGAATGGCATAGCTGCTCTTCACAAATTGCATAGAAACGACGACAATAAGATCCATGGCTAAAGTCAATAACCTGTATTGATATCTTAAGAATTTACTACTGTGGAAAACCTATGATCTGTTTATTCTTTTCTGGCTTAATAGTAAGCAAATTCAAAGTATCAATTTTATTGTCCCTTGGCTCAAAATTGAAATTCTTCATATGTGCTGCAAGTAATTTATTTCCCATTTGGCATTGCTTATGGCAATGGGTGAAAATCGTTGAGGACAAAATTTTTCCTTGAATCCTCTGAACCACTGAGCAATAACAATATTGCTATTTGGACTTTCTCTTATTTTTGATGCTGTCTATACCCTTTCATTATATAACCTAAGACATAATCACAAGGCTATATATTTAAGCCATCCTTTTGTAAAGTATTTTGTAAAGTATTATATAGATGGAGGTAACAGAACATGCTTCCATATCAATATTTAAGTTGACAAATGCCTGGTTCCTATGTAACAGGAAATCCTCCTTTCACCACCTGATGAAGAGATTGGGGGAACTATGGTTTTAACAACGATTAGTGAAAACCAGTCAGGATTTGAATTCCCAAGATGAGATGACACAAGGAATTGTGGTTTCTGTAAAAACAAAAGTGAAAGCTTCCATTCTCTTCAGGGGCAGAAAAAAGGAAGGAAGAATGTGCAAGACTGTGGCTTCCCTCAGCTCATTCATATTGCAGGAAACGATGGTCTACTTTTATATCTGAAGTGGGCCATACACTTATTTCATTCTAGCTTCCAGTACTACTCGGCCAATGAAAACCTCTTGCGTTAAAATTTGTGGAGGCTATGCAGTGCCAGTGGACTTAAAATCTAGATGGCAGATTTCAGCCATCTAAATACTTTTCCCTCTTAGCAAATAGGGGGTTTGAGGCACTGGCAGATACCTTGAAGAGCAGTGGTGCCTCATGCTCCCCTTCTGATTTCTCTCTGAAGCCCAGCCAGTATGAAAAGAACCAAACCACTGGATTGTAGTTAACACAACAAGAACTGGACTTTTTCACAGATGTATGCACACAATGAAAAAGAAGAACTACAACATAACTTCAAATTGTTTGGACCTTTGAAGAAATGTGTGGAAAACACTGACCTTTCTGATGTTTAATATGACTTGTCAAATCTGCATTCATTTTTAGTTTCACACAAAAGAAATAACCATGCTTTTTCAGAGCACATATCTATCCAGGTATTTGTTAAATGTATATTAAGACACCTGGTCATAGTTACATTTGTATATCTGCAATCACTCAGGTGTTGGTGGTCATCTTCCACTAATCTGGGCAATTTTAAATGCCTTTTATTTCATTATAATCATATTACACTATTGTATCTCCCAAGTATAGACAACATTCAAATTTAACACACATTAGGCTGCAATGCTACACACCATTACTTGGGAATAACTCTGAGTAAATATACACACGATTCTACCGTATGCTCATTAATTTGGGCTGGATCATGCTCCATGTTAATCATTGGATGCCCTAAGGCACAATTCTATTCAAGTTTAGACTGCAAAAGACCTACACCTGCAGCTGCAGCATGCAGAAAGCCGTAGGGTTCCCTCCCCCCGTCTATACTTGCATAGGTTGTGCATTTAATCACACACACACAAAGCACCTTGCACTGTTTTTTTCCTTTTATAATTACCCACTTCATAAAACTGATTCTATGCATAATCTTGGTATCTGGAGACCTGCAGTTATTTAGATGTTATAATATTTTATCAACAGCAGCATGAGTAATAATTTGTGCCATTAAATAGGAAGCAATCTCAAGTCCTCTACTTTGGACACACGGGTGCAAAGAGGTATGTCCTGAACCTACAAGGTGAGACCTACATCTACTTTGATGAAAGGTCCAAAATAAACTGAATAAAGGCAGTTTTTAAAAAAGCTGTTAACCAGTCACAGCATTTAATTAGATGGCTAAACTGTTAAGATACTATTACTATGCATTTAGCATTTAAGTATTTACACATCTTATATTATATCATGGTAAAAAGGACTCTAATGCACTAGACAGTCTATACCCTGAGTAAAATAGCAGTACAAACTAGAGGCCACAGGAAGAGTCAGAGTTTCTTCCATTGACCTTGATATAACCTAAAAGCATCAGCTTGATCACACATGCCCATTTCCTTCATTTGACAAGAATACATTGCTTGGTTGGTGGAAAGAACAGAATGGAGCCCAAGCATTGGAAAGCATTCAGACGCCTAAAACAGTTGGAAACATTTGTTTAAGAAATTATGCTGGCTGAATTAATACCATTTTGCTTTTAAACCTCAAGTATCAGATTCTTGATAAAAGCAGTCTCATTTGAAGACATGGACTTATCTTGTTTTCTGGGAGGTAGTCAGTTATTGGTAAAAGACCACTTCCCCTGTTATTACACTACATTCTTCAGACAGAAACTATTTAGGGCACCACACAATGAAAGAGAGGTGGAGTGTACATCCATCAGCACACACTGGCTTGGTTTTCCACCAAAAGGTGCCTTTAAAACATATTTCAGAGAAGTGGCTCCCCGTACCTTTTAAGTTAACATCCACAGTGTCTTAATTTCTACAGAAGTGCTGTCGGTGGAGGGGAATGTGTCTAAGGTGCTTTTAAAAGTCACATCCATCTTTCACTCAGCTGATTTTGATGTCTGGAGCAAATATAAACTGACATTCTAATTTTTGGCATTACAGAAGAAGATACTAAAAAATCATGTTCAACTAGTGTATTCTACAAAAAGCATTACAATTTGGAAAGGAACTAAAAGCACTTCTTTGTTATCCAAAAACACTCCTCTCAAGAGAACCCACAGCACACCCCAAAAGTTACTTATTTGATTTGGCTGGCTATTTCCTGACCCTGGTAGACATGATTTATTTAGAATGGTTACAAATTGTATTTCAAAAATGAGACCAAGGAAACGTCAATCATTATGTACCTAATATTCTACTTATGTAACACATCATGAGAAAGACAGAGCAAGATGCAGAATTTGAATCAGATTTAAGGTATAAGGGTGATACTAACAGCATCATAATATCTCGATTCTTTCTTCTTATACTTAAGTCTACTGTAGTAACAATGCAACTAATATATCACATGTGGATTATTTGAGTGTCTATCATTTAACTTTTGCATAATAAAACATAACTGCATTTAAAAAATAAAAATCAATGCTCTGCCAACTGTTGTAACAAAAAGATTAATCTACCACACAAATAAAATGGCTTCCACTGGCGCTGGCTATAGCTACCTGCACCACATTAAAGTCAACATGACCATAGCTCAATCTACTCCTGCACTGAATTTTAGTGTTTATGTCACCACTGTATTGCTTGCAATAGCAAAAGTATCGGCCCTGGTCATTTTGTTGCCTCTCTCCTCAAGCTTGGCTTCAGGCAAAGGGAGACCCTCCCTGTGTACCTTATCCTTTCGCAGAGAAAATTCTTCAGCAGTGTGACCAAACCACACAGACTGTGTTTCTCACCATGAAGACAAATACGTCCTCTAGCAAGAAGTGCTCACATCAATGCTTTCCATATTTAAAAATAAAAAGTCAAAATAAAGTTCAATATGACATTTTTCATAGTGCAAGTTTCACATTAATATTTTGCAGAAACTGATGTAAAGGGCTAGTGCAGATTCAAACATTTTATAAGAAACAGCGTCACATAACCATCTTGCACATATGGTCTGTTTTATCAGTGAGACAGAATAGTTTTTCGGCATCTGCTTTATTTCAGCAGGATGAAGTCAACTGCTTAGTCAGCACTAGTCAATGTGCACATTACTGTAGATAACATTATGCATTATTTAATGGTTGTTTGCTTATGTTGACCTCATTGTTTGATACTCTGAAAATAGGATTCTTATTTTTGAAGTGTTGTGTGATATTCACAAATACCTGCAATTCATATATGCCAAAAAGGTGTCACTGAAAGATTTTATCAGTGTACAAAGAAAAAAACACCACTGTATTTGTTCCTATGTCATATGCAGTACATAAAAAAGTAGACCTAACACTCTCAGAATTCTTTAAAACAACGTGCAATTTAGCACTCAAGGATTTTTTGATGTCATATCTGTATTAACTCAAATAACTAAGAATGTACAAGAGCTTGGAGCAGAAAAGGTGGCTGGGTTAAATGCCCTGGTTCAATTATTAAGTTTGAATATCTTGACCTCTGACATGCTAAATATTCAATATAGCATTACTTAGCACTGTAGAGCTGTATTTTTAATGTGACTTTTAATGTATGGTAATCACCAGTGCCCAGAGGCACAGTTAAATAATGTGACTGCTGCTTACATAGCCATTTCCCAGTCTGAGATCACAAAGAAACTGGTCAAGCTAAAAGTAAGTGTTCACAACTTGTGAGTTCCCAGTTATGCAATGCTGTCAACCTTTTTGCTAGAAAAAAAATTATTACTAAGGAAAAGATCTCGGACAGTTTTTTACACAAGCCATTCATAGTGTAACTATAAAAATGTTTCTATTTACTTTTATGTCTAAAATGCTTTAGAGTTTAGGAGACATTGCATTTTGCTATCAACCATGCTCATTTATCTTAATTTTCAGTATGCGTAATATAGTATCCTTGTTTTTAGGTACCTAAGATTGCAAAATCTCAGCTGCAGTAAAGGCATGTCAGAGGATTTATGTATTTATTCATTGGAACTGAAATTATTAATCAGTTATTTCTACGGATGTTAAAAAGACACTGCTTTCCAGAAACTCTCATTCCATTTATACCTTCTTTAACCCGCTCAATATTTTGCAAACTACTTAAGCAATTTTAAAATCCAGAAATGCGTCCGTCCGTCCTTCCTTAGAATTTGGTCCCCATTTCTGCATATACCAATCCAAGGCCATCACTGGAAGCACAAATGCATATCTGAGGGCATAGTTTGACCTTATGTCTATGATAAAGGAAGAGCTGCCAAATTATTAAGTAGCGTTATCTCTATTTATATAGAGCTCCAGGGAATCTAGCTGGGGCTCCAGTTAAAAATCAAAGAGAAAGCAAAAATGGATTTCAAGACACGTTTCACTATTATCTTTGAAAGCTTTCATAAAATCAATTCAGCTCAAGCAGAGAGGGAATACTCTGCCCATCATGAACAACTGTCTTTATTGCATCCCTATTTTATACATCCTTCTCCTCTCTCCCTTATACATTTATCTGGATAAACCTGAGGAATGGCAAAACTGAAAGACAAATGGAGTTAATCCTCTTTGGAGTAAATCTGCCATTTTATAGCCTTGATTGATTTATAAGGGGCTTGCATGGAAGCACCCATGACCCCATTGCAACAAATGGATGGTCCAAGAGCTTAGTGGACTGTATTTTTAAGTGGTCTTCAAAAAGATAAAACTATCATATGGAGAATCAATGTTATCTGTATCTGTATGCTGAGTAACATTACAGTAGGCATTAAAAGTCCAACTGTGTGGTGCTTCACACTTTCTGGGAATGCAGCTCTTAAAACCCATGTGCAACTGCAGAAAGGAGGCTAGCTGGGATAGGATTAAACAAATACTGCCTATTCTTAGGAGACCATTCTTGCATTCTTCTCTTCCAATCAACCTCTGACTTTATCAGAACCAGAGGAACCCCTGAGCATCAGTGTTCTTCTTTGAGCTAATTAAATTGCTCCAATGTTTGCATGGGGCTTAAATGAACTCTTGCACTGCACTACTCAGGCAACAGAATCAAGTCTTAGGATGTTGGCCATGTTTTTACTACACTTATAATTTTCTTAGGAAGGGAAAAAAGCAGAACACAACTTTCATAATTGAGCAAAGAGGTGCAACCATTGTGACCAAAAATGTTTCACCAGTGATTGGATTTGTCCAGCTTCTGGGCAATGTGAGAAACCCAAGTAAACTATTATTTCAGTAAGCCTATTTTTTAAATGGCATATTTTCAGACAGTCAGGATTTAAGACCTTTCATGTGTGTGCCCAAACACACAGTCAGGCTCATACGTCACACATTCTGGCCATCCACCAGGAGAATGGAAAACCCCATAGGGGAACCCTCCAGATTAAATCTGGAAGTGTAGTGGAACTGCAAAAAGAGAAGCAAGCAAGAGGAAGTACACTCATGTATTGAAGCCAAAGACTGCATAATTAATAGGACTGTCCATATTACTGGCTTGAACTGTGGGACTACTACAGACATGGAACTTCCAAACAAGTGATAGCTTCCCACTTGACTTTATTGTACACAGATTCCCACTGGGCCTACATAATACCGCCACTTTGAAAGTGGAATCTTGTTCAAGGCCTTGTTTTGGAGAATCCATGAAACCTTGTATTCAAGCTGTGTTCAGTGGGCTATATCCATACATTTAGCATGGTATTATTATAATGGTTTAGGGATTGCAAATGTAGGTCAGTGTTAATGAAATAACAGAACAAAATCAATCATATTTCATTGTACTTTTAGCAATAAGGAATAAAAAACTTGACAGTAAGAAAAATAATTGCCTCTCCACCCAGTCTACGTTTGATAGATTCATAGATAAAATGAAAAAAGTTACAAGGATGATGAAAAGAAGTGAGGGAGAATCCGTAGGAAAATACTTAATTTTTGTTGGTGTTTAAACACACACACAAAAGGCCAGCAGTCTTTTTATTCTAAATATCTGTAGTGTTTTATCTATGGCATGCCATATTTATGTGGCTTTAAATAATTCTGTAGTGTTCACAATACAGTAAAAAAATATGTTGTTAACATTGAGTTAAGTATGTGAAAATAAAAATATGGCATGCAATGAGAACTATAATAATCACGTTTTGTGTGTGAGAGAGTGAGGAAGAGAAAAATAGTTTTATCCTTTTTATGCATCTCCTGCAATTTCCTATTAACCATACTCCATTAGAAATGGCATTACATTATGTGCAAAGTCATCAGAGTAGTTCAAACGTGAACTGGTAACAGGCTGACTGCAGCCTGAACTTTTATGGCACTTTTATGGTGCAATGCAAGCGATGCAACAATGAAATGAAAAGATGTCTACTGAACCAATCTGACCAAACCCGTCTGCACCCATGTTCTGAATGATTAGATGCTGTTTGTTACAGAGTTATTTAGAAGCGAGATCATTTGAACCAATTAATCGAACTTCCAATTTTCCTTGCACACCAATTGTATTAACTAATTAAAAACTTGTATTTGTCTTAATTTAAGGGGGGGGAATAGTTTAACTCTTACTACAATTAAGGAATTTGTGATATAGATTCTATAGAGATGCAGACATTCAGAAAAGAAAATCAAATGATTAACACCAGGGTGCTTTTTAAAAAGAAAAGTTCAACTAAAGCCATCATCCATCAATGAACTTTAGCACAGATAACAAAGGGTTGAAAAGTGACAGGTGTCATTACATGCACCTGGATCTGAAAAAAGGATATTGCACTAAACAAGGAACCCTGCAGTTTTTAAATAAACTTCCTTCTTTCACTGACCTAGAAATGAAACCAGCCATTTTCTGTATGCACCAGCGAACCTTGCCTGCTCTGCCTCCCTACATGTTGATAACACTTGATTGATGAACCTGTACTCTACTTCCAGACTGACAGGGTCCTGCACAGGAGCACGTTTCAGACGTTTGGTTTCTTGAATGTAGCCTTGCTTGTTAGATTCAATCACACCATCAATATCCATAGCTTGGGTCACAGGACCATGTGCAACACCAGGGTGTGAGTTATTCAGTGTTCCATCAGTGCCGTCTGCAGCTGCTGACCAGATGCTTGGATGTGGAAATTTGTTCTTTAAGTGGTGCTGAAGGTAGAACACATGCCGCCTTAAAAAAATAATAAAAAAAAAAACCACTGAGAAAAATCAGACTACCAACACTTCTTATATTATAGCTGACTATAAATAATGCTTTGGTCCTCCTCTTCCCAAACATAGATTAGGGTTCACATCTTAAGCATCATTTTTCAAAACAAGCCTGGCTTCTAACATAGCAAACTGAGCATGGTATACAATAAGCAATCACTTTGATTATTTTATAAACAAAAGTTTAATGAAACCTCGTAATATATTAATGGGGAATTTATGGAAAGGCATAATAAAAACTATTAATGGGGAGGATGGTGGAATAAGCCTCTTTACTTCTCCATGACTGATGTGCAACTTACCCAACTGGCACAGCAAATACTGTAAGACTGAGGGTTTGATAAGTTCAATCCAACATCACAAGGAAGAACTACTTTTTTTAGTTTTCAAAACAGGTAAACCTGGTGATTAGAAAACCACAGATGGTATAGAAAGGGGTGGCTGACCCCTCTGAAAGTCTAGAGCACATGACACCTCATCGGGAGCACTGGCTTTTGGGTTTCTGTGTGACATTCAAGTGCTATCTTCAAATTATATGCAACCTTTAATCTCTTCAAACCAGCCTACCAGAAATGCTGGTCTCTCTTCTGTAAGACATTTAAAAATGAGTTTATGCATTTCATACTGATGCAAAACTCTCAACTGTCATTGTGGGTTGTGGGAATATGCTTGCCCTTCTTGTGTCTCTAATGATGGTTAAGCATTATGCCTGTGCTGATGAAAACAACATACTCTAACTAAAGTTAGTTCTCACTGTGCAAGAATGAAGCCCATCAAGACAGAACCCAAGTTAGCAGTAACCATGGTTCATGGTTCTAGAGTAGACAGCCAAACTTAACTATTGTTTAAGCCAGAGTGGGGTGGGGGGGGGATCCATATGAGTGAAGAAGCATGGCCTCCAAAGGTCCATGTGTTTCTTAACTATGTTTAAGAGATGATGTCAGCATTATTCCTGTTTGTGCTGGCTTTTAGCAGGCATGCTTCAGATGGTGTGTATCCCACACAGTTCTTCAGGTGACTAACAAGATTAAAAAAATCCTACCACAATCTTTTGCAGTGAAGCTAATAAGTAATTTCAGCTAGCTTCTCTGCAGCTCTCCAGTTTCTATTCAATGCTTCTTTTAGAAATTTTGCATTTAACAGCCCTACAAAATTCTCTGATTTCATCCTTATCTGATGTACTTAAGCATCCTGTTGGCAAGTTGAACCTTCTGTGAAATTTAACCAAATATCTGGAAAGGAGATTAAACACAGAGGTGAAGTCCAACTTGTATGTGCAGGGGACAGCTCATTTAACAGATCCCTTGCCTATTTCACCCTTGCAGCTTTCTGTGCTACCTGAAAAGCCTCTCAAGAGGGTGCTAAAGAACTCACTGTGAAATGTGTCTTACTGGGCTGCAGTGGAAAGGGGGAAAATTACCTGAAACTAGGAAGCTTATAAGAGCAGTGCCAGATCCTTTCACCCGATTTTAGAAGATTTCCTCACTCACATGGCAACCCAGTAAGGTTCATTTCATAATGTTCTATAGGCTAACCTGTTCTCGGAGGAGGTTTGGGGGAAATTACAGAGCAGTGCAGGACTCACTGTGGGCAAGGGCAAGACCAACTGTGCAAGCTTGCCTACTGCTCATGGATTTCACCAAAGGCAAAAATAGCTTCTGGAGAAGCCTACATTGTTTTAAAAAATCATGGCATTTCATGGTTGTCAGACATCAGAAGATACGCCTTGCTGCAAGATAAAGGTTTTTCTAAGTGGAAGGCAGACTTCAAGAATGGAGAAATTAAAGGTGCATATGAAGTATGGTAGGTGGTGACAAAGAACAGGGAAATTCACCTTACTGCTCTGTTAATGGCTGTCCAGTCAAGGAGATTCTCTTCTGGAGAGCCCTGAGTTATCCCAATAATATTCTCTTCCAGTTTCTGCTGCTCTAATTTCGCTTCTAATTATTAAGTGTTTTGATATTACATAAAAACACATTTTATATAATATCAATATTTTAAATAATTGTAGTGTAAGCCACTTAGGAGACTTTTAGTCAAAAGAATGATTCAAAACAGTTTATAGAAAATAAAATACAAAAAATTGGTTGATTATTAAGCAACTAACAGCAGCTGCATGAGGCCACTTTGGAAATAAGCTTATGCTTTGACTCAGTAAGCTACCTTTGTGTGCTCAGCCTGCAGATCTGGACATCTTTTCTGTCCCATCAGAATCCGCTAACATCACAGTTTGCAGTGGCTTAGAGAAGCAAGGCTAAATGGTGACTATCCTATTTAATCCCATGCCCATGAATAAGGGAGGGAATATGGCTTAGTGGGAGAGCGCCTATTTGGCATGCAGAAGGTCCTAGGTTTGAAGTCTGGCAGACCTCGGTAGGGCCAGGAAAAACTCCTGTCTGAACTACTAGACCAGATGGGCCAAGGGTCTGACTTCATATAAAGGTCCTAATATATTTTCTTACCTGTGACACCACAGGGTTTCATGCCCAGGGTAAGTATTAATTAAATCAGTGCAGAGCTCTATTTCTTCCTTTAGAAGGAGAGGATGATCAGGCCATTGTTCCTCCATGCAGGCAGCTCCTGCTTCATCATTTTGTTCATCTTCTGGAAGACTGGGTGCTTGCTGAGCAGCCTGTTGATTATGCATCCGTACAGTGCAATCAGTCCCAGTTCTGCCAATCAAAGATTTTAACAAAAACTGGCGGTAGTGGAATCCACTGTGGTCTGAAACATGCATGGAAACCCAGTGTTTAGTGGAAGAAAGTTCATCAAGAAGAATCTGGAAATCAAAAGCAGATTGTAAAATTAAACCAGCCACAATGGCCAGCTTTCCCAGTCTTTCAGTTTTCCTTTAATAGCAGGGCTGGGATATCTTTGTAAAGGCAAGGGCTACTTTCCATCAGGGAAAAGTGGGTGGGATCCATGTACCAGCAGCATGCCTGAACAGAGCCAAAGGAGAACCACATTTTCTTGCCTGTTACTCATTCATTCCCTCTTTCTCACAAACTCCACACGTCTGCCCACCCATTCAAACTATTAATTTCATCTTTTTTATACTTATCTATCCCTACACATTAACACATCCAATCTATCCATCCATTCACTGTTAGCTTCTGAAATTCACAGAACCAGCTGTAGTTCCAGTTGTAATTTCATTTCTGTCCTGCTTGCCCAGAAAGCCTCTACCATCCCTATTAGGAGTAAAGAGGCAGGTTCAGACACCCATCCAGAGTGCCTCTTTCCAGGGGTGGTGCTAGGTACCACAAAGATCTGGGGCTCAGTCCCACAAGAAAAAAAAAAACCATGCACATACTATATATGCTAATTTACATCTGTTCTAAAGCCTCTGCATATATGTGTCCCTTTAAAGGACCCTGACTCCTATTTATACAAAGAGATGCATTGACCAGAGAAAGGAGGGCATTTGATTTCACAAACAGAAAAATGGTGGTGGTTGTAAGAGTCATAGGTAAACATTTGGGTAAATGGCCCACTGATCCAAAGGGATCAGAAGCAGAGGAAATCTTATTCAGCTCTCCACACTCCCACAGATTTCCAGTTAGGTGAATGTATACACAGTTCTTGTTAGACTTCTTGTTGCATGGTGACTGGACAGGAGGTACAGAAAAAACAAATACAAGGTCTTCCTTTCACTTTTTCACACAGGTCTTCCCACCATAGGAACTGGGATTGGGCCTACTCTGCCAGTAAAGAGTTGTGCAAACAGCTTCCAATTCTGAAGGATCTGAATGACACTCTGTAAGAAGCTGAGCACAACATATGACTTTTGCAGACTCAGCTCCCTTCCCTTGAAAATGCTTAGGTGGGGGCAATAGATGCTGGTGGAGATGAAAGAATGCAGAGTCAAATCTAGCATTGTGCAAGGTCAACGGTCCTGCATTATAAAAAAGGCACCAGGTCTACTCCAGAAATAAGCAATTGCAACATGAAAGTCATATAAATTTGGTCTGTTTAAATTTTAGACTGGAGCAGGTAAAACAGTTTCCTACTTGCTTATACAATCCGTTTTAGAGAACACCCCCTGAGTACCACCCCGAAGGGGTGGAACCAGCTGCTTTTCAAACAGGCATTTCTGTTCGTGTTGATAAGGCATTTTTAAAGCCTGTTAGCCTCGTTCTGGTTGTTTGATGTTGTGCTAATTCATTAAACCAGCATTAGCTGAACTGAAGGATGTCCTTAAATATTTGAAAGGCACTTATAAATACCACTATGGTGTTTCTAAACTGTTTGATTTCTTTGAACCTATATTAATACATGATTTGCATTTCAATAATGCGTAATGTCTTGAGAAAACATAGGCGGCAGAAGACCGAGAATCATCATATTTAAATATTGTTGTACAACATTGTTTCTTCTATTCTTCAAGAGTCTTTATGGGTTTTCCCAGTTCTTTCTTTCTTTATTCCACTTATATTCTGCTATACTAGTCTGAAGATTCTCTAATTTATTTTCATCACACTATTCCATCTACCATAATCATCTGCTCCTTTGTCAAGGCAAGCACTTGAATTACCTTCCATTAATGTCACTGAGTGCTGTAGGTAGTCACTAGTTTGGTTTAGCAATTGCATGAATCAGCAAGAGAGAGGACATAGCAGTGCTTCTCCACCTCCCAAAGAAGCTCCTTAGTCATTAGCAAGGACATTCAATTTTAAAGATTTCTGTAATATTAAAAAATTAATGCTCCAATTCATATAAATTCTTTCTACAAGGTTAAAATGAAGAACTTCAATTCCATACTGTAGCATACCTTTGTATTGAGGTTTGCTAAGTTCTGTAAAACCCAGATGCGATGGGACCAGGCGTTATAATTACTTGGATATCTCCCAGCAGCTTCACAGCAAACATCCATTTCTTCTTTCACTAACTGCTGTATTCTTTCCATGGGTGCGGATTCCAAATGCCCTTTAGTCATAAGAGCAGGCATAGAATTCTCCTGCATTAGTCGCTGCAGCACCCATCGTCTGGTTCAGTAGTGTAGAGAGGTAAGAGTACAAAAGCCAATTTGAGAGAGTGAAAACATTTTACTTTATTTGAAGTTTCATTATATTAGGTTTTAATTCACAACAAACAGGAAGTTGGAGAAAAGTACACTAACCTTGAACTAATCATTAATACTCTAAAGTATTTCATAAGACAGTGAAGTGCTTTCGGTTAGTTAATTCAGCCAGTAACTCTTGTTTGACAATGTATTCTTTAAAAAAAAAATCCAACTAGTATTTCCTTTTGAAGTACTATCCTGAACTCAGAATTTAATTGGGCAACTCTTATTTGAGCTTTGTCAGTCACTACGTGCATTTAGACAGTTATATCTTTGCTCCATAAGCCAGGCTATACAAAGCTTTGTGTGTGCACACACACCTCCCTTTACATAAGTAACTAATCAAAATGTTGTGTAAAGCTGGTTTCTAAGGGCAAGAAAAAAGTGGGAGCAAAGGAACTGCATATGGACTCGACGCCTGTACATATTCTGGCTTATTAAGCCAGGATTTGACTGCCAAAATTGAATTGCTCTCCCAAATCATTTTTTCCACACTGTTAAAACTGATAAGAAGTTTCTATGTCCTTTCTATGTCATTACTTTCAAAATTGGAAAATACTGACCTCCATGGCCTTTCCTTATACATTACCCTTTTCTTTAGGAGGTCCTATTTGAGATGGGATAACCAGACCTGCGCACAGCAGTCTAAGTACTGTCACACTACAGATTTATAGAATACCATTATGAAACTTTATGTTCTAGTTTCAACTATTTCCCTAATAGTTTCCAATACTTAATTTGCCTTTTTCACTACTTCAGGACACTGAGTTCTTTTCAAGGATAGTCATAGTTAGACCTATTAAACTGAATGGAACTTAGACTAGTATTAGATATAAGCTGATGTGCACATATTCAGCAAGGTGTGCACTACTACTTCAAGATTTCCAAGTTATTTACTGCCAATTTAGAGATACACAAAGCATAAAACATCTACTTTCAATAGTGGACATGACTGTCTACAACAAACAACTAACTTTGCAATATATGGCCTCATAGTTGTCCTTATACCTGGACAATATCTGTCGCCCAAGCCTCACAGAGGAAGTATAAATATATATTTGAGTATAAAGGAAAAAAACAAAACAACATACACTCAGAGGGAAACAAACCTATGAATCCATGTTTCTGGACTCTTTGGAAATTTAGTTAATGCTAATTTTCCAAGATGTAAATCTTTAACTGAATTTAAAGTGCCAGATAGTATTAGTTCTTTCCTGCAAAAAGAAAAAAAACATGAGTGAATAAGGACCACTCGTTTAATGAAGAAAACCTGCTCAGCACAAATTTACTAGTGAATAAAATTACATAAAGTGTCCAATATATCCAATCGTTTAGGTCACAATCCTATGCATGTTTAGACAAAGAAAAGTCTTGAATGGATGACTGGGAAATGCTGGGAGCTGTAGAACCCTTAAAACAATGGAATAAACATTATATTTACAGTAATATAAGAGGCACAAAGATTAAGCCCTCAAATAGCCCAGGAGTAGCCAAAGTAGTGAACTTAATGAAGTAGTTAAGCAGTAAGTTAAATAGTTATGTAGTAAGTAGTGGTCTTACCTTCACAGTAGAAAGTGCTCGCTACTGCTGGTATGCAAAATCTTCATGTCTAAGGCTTCTGTTCCCATACAACTGAAGAGTTACTTTTAAGTAAATTACCTGGATTAGTTCCCACCCCTTGTCATGCACATGTACGTTAGAACACTGCTGGCGAACCTATGGCACAAATGCCACAGTGGGCAGACAGAAACCTCTCTGTCAGCATGCGAGCCAAGTCGCCCCAGCATCCGAGCATTGGATAACAGCATGCATACGGGCCACATGCTCGGAAAGGAGTAGTGGTGCCAGGCGATGATGTCACAAGGCACAACACATTATCCGTGACTCATCTGAGCTTCCACATGGCTGGTCAGTGTGCTGCCAGGAATATATATATATATTTGCTTGGACTGGCTGTTTTCAGGTTTTACTGCAGTGCTTGCACTTTGCGATAAATAAGTGGGTTTTGGGTTGCAGTTTGGGAACTCAGTCACAAAGAGGTTCACCATCACGGGGTAAGGGTTATAAAAATGAGGTGTCCTGGTATGATTGTGATGGTTGGAATGTGTTTAGAATGGGCAGAAATGTTGAACTGTGCAGAAAAAGCTACTCAAGGAAGGCTTTTTCAAATCGCCCCATTTTCAATGAAACTTTAGCCCTATATTAGGGTTAAGGGTGTGCAACAGTACAGGGTTAGGGGTGGAAAAACAAGGTGTCCTGGCATGGTTTTGATGGTTGGAATGTGTTTAGAATGGGCAGAAATGATGAGTTGTACAGAAAAAGCTACTCAAGGAAGGCTTTTTCAAAATTGCCCCTTTCAATGGTATTTCAACCCTTTATTAGGGTTAGGGGAGTGCACCGGGGTAGGGTTAGGTTAGTGGTGGCGAACCTATGGCACGTGTGCCCCAGAGGACACACAGAGCCCTCTCTGTCGGCATGCGAACCAAGTCGTCCCAGCAGCCAAGCACCGGATAACAGTGCACACAGGAGCCATACGTCACATGCCACAATTTATTAGTCATGACTTGTCCGAGTTTTTGCATGGCCGGTCAGTACGCTGCCAAGAAAATATATATATATATATATATATATATATATATATATATATATAATTTGCTCTGACTGGCTGTGAGTTGTTTTTTCTAAACTAAGACCTCGGTTTTCAGGTTTTATTGTAGTGTTGGCACTTCGCGATAAATAAGTGGGTTTTGGGTTGCAATTTGGGCAGTCGGTCTCTAAAAGGTTCGCCATCACTGCCTTAGAAGATTTAAAAATGAATGTTGCACAGATGTAGAATGGTCTGAAGAAGGTGCTGTTAAGTTGTTGAACAGATGTGAATTCCCACAGGGCTTATTTTGCACAGATAATGCTGCTGAGTTTTTCTGTCTTTTGGACTATTATTTATTTAGAGAAATGAATGTTTGCCCAAGGAACTTCCAATCCCCCAAGGGTTACAAGGCTACTGAAGATCTTGTGATAACACAACTGATACGAAAACGTCCTTTTCTTGTGTTACAAAACAATTAACTATTTTGTCTCAGCATAGGGCACATACTCTTTTTGCTATTACTGAATATAAATTGACACTATTATCTTAATTCTGAAGACAAGGAGTGAAGAATTATACTGTAAGTCCGGCTTCTCCAACCTGGTACCCTACAGGTGTTTTAGATGACAACTGCCATTGTTTTTAACCATTGACCATGGTGCCTGGGCCTGGAGTCCAATCCACTGGGAGAGGCTGGTGTAAACCAATGCAAACAAGTCCCATTACAGCTAACCTTTTCTACTAAACTCCCAACAGACAGACTGTTATTCTCTTAAATTTATTGTAACTCTTCTAATTAGAGATATTTCAGATGTTATACTTTTTTCCATGCATTTTCATGTATTAAAATGAGTGACAACTGCATGGAGTCTTTTTGCAATGCATGTAAATACAGCAAAAAATAAGCTGCAACTATATGGGTATGGAGCAACAAAGATGCACGTGCAATTGCTTTGTATGCATTGCGATTTCCTACAAGGAAGTGTGATTCAGGCAGGAAAATGGTAATGCTTGAACCTGCCCTTCAAACCTTTTCTGCTGGTGGAAATCTGGTCTGCTTTCTACATATTTGTTCTTAATACATTTGGACCTGCGTCGAACCCAATGTTTTTTAACTGATGGATAAACTAGGTACTTTGGCCTATTCAGGGTTTGCAGACAACCAAGTAAACTGGGGTTTTTTTTCTCAATCCTTGCATTGTTTGCTTGACTCCTCTTTCACCTTGTATATGGCACTGTAATACTGGCATGTAGGATGGTCTTTTTTTTTTTTTTTTAAAGTTGCTGTTGCCTGCCAACTCCGTAGCCTGAAAAACAACCCTTGGTTTTCACACATAACAACAAACCACTGTTAAGCAACCCAAAATTCACAACCCTAGAACAAATCACATGCTATTATTCTGGGTTGTTTGTGGTCAATAAATCATGTTTTGTTGGCATGGCTGGGTTTGAAAGTACAACAACACAGCATTCAAACACTCTTGTACTGAATAAATTAACCATGGATTAAATATATGCATTACCCATGGGTTAAATAAATTAATACAGCATTAATTCCCATTTACAAAATGTTTAAAAGCAAGGAATTATTCACTACAAACTAATATTAAACCAAAAAATGGGAGATTTGCTTTTTAGGATATTATTCCGTAACTCAGTGAAGCTATCTGTGCTGATACCCTTCTTTAGAAGCTGAAAACATGATTTCATAAAAAGGAAAGGCTTTCAAAAGAAGAAGGGAGAGGGAAATAATAAAAACAATTTTGGTTTTCTGCTGCAGGCTGTTAAGGCACTTAACCTATAAAACAGTTTACGTATTATTTTGCTCTCTAGTTCAGCTTAAATTTCTATGCAAAGAATAAATGTAATAAGGCAAGTAATCTTGCCTGATCTTAAACTTAATCAAAAGAAAAGCTAATTAGAATTATTAGGGGCTAGTGTTTGCTCCTGAGATTAGTATTTATATACATTTTGAATTCTTGCTTGCCTGAGCCAAGACTGATTGATGATCAGTCAGGAAAACCACGTACCGTACAGCTGAAAATCACCTCTGGGAAAGTGAAAGGATAACACAGTGTTTGCCTTCATGTTGAGGAACAGCACTAAATGTCAGCTCCGACCCTCCAAAGACTCCACATGCTAACCCTTGCCTTGCCATTTATTAATGGAAAATACTTGATTGCAGGCATCTTAGCAAAACATAGCACTTCAATATAATACGAGATTTTCTGCACCCTGAAAACTCACAACTCCAACACAATCCTTTCGTATTTATGTAGTAGATTCTATGGAACCGTTCTATCCATCCATTATTCCTAAAATCAGTCTGCCTCTTCATAGCATCACATTAAGCATCCATTACACACTAGCATGTACATGTGAACTTGCCCATAGTTCTCTACCACAAAAGAGCAGCACTGAGACCATGACAACATACCAGCTTTGAGTAAGGTGGAAAAAATTTAGATGACACAAAAATGGTCCAACCATATGGTATATAACAAAGTGGAAATCCCAAATCTAATAGCCCTTTCATATGTTAATTTTATTGTAAGTCACCTAGAAAATCAATCTGAATTAGTGGATGGCATACAAATTAAATAAATAAATACATAAACTGACCACCTCCTTCTCATACAGCAAAGTACATTTGCCCAATATTCCATCTTCTCATGAGAAACATGAAGAAGTCAAATTAATAAGAAGGAAATCATGAGATTACAAATCATAAAATGACTCATTTTAGATGTATCACATTTAATACTTGAAGTAATTAGAACTTTGTATTCCTAATCTTCCAATTTTTCAATGGGCAGCTTCTGTCTTTCTACCCTAATTCTCAAGCATGCTATCTCATACTGCAAGAACCTTCAATTGGATTGCAGGTTCTATCTGAAGCAGACCTTCAAGGACTCCATTTGGGAACCTCACCTACTTGCTTGGTGTGCACAGATCAATTTCTGAAGTGCTACTACAGAGGTCAGTGGATGTGAAGGCTGTTGGATCTATTTCATTTCAATACTCAAATTGCAAAGATTTAGTGGGAAAAAAAATGATTAGAATTGAAGAATATTGCCTCTGAGAATATTCTGACCCTACACCAAACAATTTGTTTTCAATACCAGAACTACAAAACTCCATTCCTGGCTCCCTTCATTTCAGTCTCCGAATTTAGGCAGAAATCCTGAATTTTGCTGTTCTTGTTAAATGGGAGTCAGGAAATCTTGCTGATATACTATAAACAGCCAGAGAAATGCTACATTTGACCTTTATATCCCTCTTTAGTGGTTTACATCCAAACTTTGCTGGCAAATGGTCAATGTTTTTGCCACTGCCCCGTTTTTTTGTTTTTGCCAAAGCCAAATTTGTAGCAAGAAGTGGGGCTATGGTAGCAAGGACCCTTGGCTTAGCCTTAAATATTTTATTTATTTTTAGTATTTGGATACCATCTTTCTGCAAAAAATACCAGTATGTAAGGGTGTTTGTGCATGTGTATGCAATCACACATGAAAATAAAAACATTACAAATATACTTTTTAAAAAATTAAAAGGCCAAATTTAAAAGCTTTATCCTGAAACCTTTTCTAAAAATGGCCAGATTAAGTCTAACTCCAAGCAGAGCATGTTCCACAGCAGAGAAGTGATACAGAAGAAGACAGCCCTCTCACACATGCCAGTCAAGTGGACACTTTCCTGTCTGCAAGTGAAGGCATCCTCAGAAAAGCCTTTAAGAAATACTAACAGTGTATTCCAAGAGGCTGCTAGAGCTACACAGAGACAGACTGAAATCCACACATTAACCTGCTTACAAACATTACAGTTACTGACATAGAAACTCCAGATACAAGCCAATAAAATGGCTTGACAGCCAGTGTGATGTAGTGGCTAAGAGCATGGGACTAGGACTCAGGAGATCTGGGTTCTAGTCACTGCTCAGCTGTGAGGCAGCTGAGTGGGTGGGTGACTTTGCGCCAGTCAGAGACTCTCAGCCCAACCTCACAGGGCTGTTGTTGTGGGGATGTGACTGAGAGCAGCAGCAGAATGACGTAATGTTTTGAGTTCTTTAAAAAAGAAAAAAGGCAAGCTATAAATCTAACAAACTAACTCACTCACTCACTCTGTGGGAGCTCTTATATTCTGCATTTTGTCATGACAGCCTTTTAGTTCACCATATAGCTTATACATCAAGAAAAAGCTTTTGTGCTAACATTGCTTTTATTCTATAAAGGTGCTGTTCAGGAAGCCACCCAGAGCATTTTGGCTATTGGCTCCTGGGTGATACAGGAGTTGAATAAATGAATAAGCAAGCAAGAAAGAAAACAAGAAAACAAGCTGTAGTTCTGATCCTCCCCCTACCTGCAGAATGAGGATTTTGGATTTGCTTTTCTGGCTTTGCCCCTAGCAGCTGAAATGTAATGTTATTCAGTCCTTCCTTCCCCCACCCCTTCTTTGGAATTCAGCTCAATACTTTTGCCTATACATTTATCTCTGAGGTAGTCACTGCTTCGTATTTCAACTAAGTGCGCTTAAATAAGAGACAGCACAGTCCCTCAAGCACCATAAGTATTCACACAGCTTTTCGATTACTGTCCTCCCATTCAGTTTCATTGCCTTTATGCACAGAAGAAGTTGCAGTCTTTGTCCTGATTGAACTTGAAATATGTTCTTCACTACAGTGTGTTAGATGTCAAAAGTTTTGATGGCACGGGGCTTAAATTGAGGCTGATGGAAATTAGACAAATCCTATTAAGAGACAACAAGAAAATGACCTCCATTGAATGAAGGAATATTGGAATTAACTATGCAAATCCGCATACAGAGAAAAGGCGCCTATTTAACATGCATAGAAAAACAACAGGTCACTCTCAGATCTCCAACTGAAAGGAAAGATATTTTCTGTATATCCGTTTTTTCCATTCATGCTTGACTCCGCCCCTCCACCGCACATACCTTTCTGTACACGAAGCATTATGAAAACACGAATGCAGTTTCTTAGAGATTTATACAACAGTGTCATTCCACTGGCAGAAGAACTGGCCAGATTCCTCCTCCCTCCTACAGTCCTCTACTCACAAATCTATTCTGGAGGGGTGCAAGACCCTCCAGAGCAGATTGGAGGAATGTAGTGACATGCAATGGGGTGGTGAGGCTGGGGAAGACCTGTTGCTGCTCACTTTATAAATGTTTGGCAGACAAGCTTGTCACTAAAACATAATTCACAATTCTATCTCTGCCTTGCTATGACGCTCACTATAAAGCTTGTTCAAGTCCCTGTTTCTTAGTTTAATGAATTAAAATGTTAATGCAACAATAAGATTTTTAAAAAGAATGCCGCATACCAACAAGTACTACAGAAGCAATCACTCTCTTAGTGCAGAGCATTTTCAATATCACACCTGTACATACATACTCCAAGTCAATTGTGATTGCAATCCTCCAAACCAGGTTCATAGTTTGGGTATGCTCACTAATCTAACATTATCGCAACAGGGACAAATGACCTGTGCGGCTCAATGCAACTTTTACTACTAGTGGTCAAACTATGCACCTTTCTGGACAGGAATAGCCTTACCTCAGTGATCCATGCCCTGAGAACCTCCCATCTGAATTATGGCAACACATTGTACCTGGAGACGGCGGTCTGGGAAATTTTAGCTTCTACAGAACATGGCTGCAAAGCTGCTAACTGGCACAGGGCATTGCAAATCTATTACACCTATACTTCATCATCTTCACGGGCTCCCTGTTCATATTCGAACCCAACAGTACAGCCCTTAACCTCCTCTCTAGGTTAAAGGAGGTTAACCTCAATAACTTCACTTAGGCCTTTCTTGGAATACCCCTGCCAAGTGAGGCACTTTGGAAGTCTGGAATGAACAGGACTTTTCCACTGTAGAATGCCATCCCCAGAATGGTCCACCTGGCACCTACTTCATGACATGCAAAGACTACTTTTCCAGGTTGTTCACATCATATTTTAAGTTTTAACATTGCTTCAGTTTTATTTGTATTTTCTGTTCTCTGTGTTCTCTGACACATTTTTATTTTGTGTTTTTAAAAATGTATTTTATTCATATTGTATTGCAATGCTTATTTTTTCTGTAAGTAAATAAATATCCAATCTGTTTATTTGAGATACCAGTGGATGATAAGATGTCTGTTAAGCTTTTGTTTTTAAAAGCATTAGATTCTGGAAGTTCAAGTAGTTCTAAAAATACCCAAATGCTGTTGCAACAGACTACCCAAGCTTTGGTATAAAAATATGGTTCTATTTTAAGGTTCAGATGTTTTTCAGGGTAATATTGACTGCATCAACTCAAGTCTTCAATAAAAGGATATGCAAGCTGACAAAGTATAAGGATGCATGGTATTTATGATGGCCATATTCTGAAGTTGAACTCACTCAATACGCAGCTTCCAAATTAATCTGCAGATCAAAACACAATCTGCAATCCTAGCAAATTCTAGAAGGTGTTCCAAAGACTGCCTTAACAATTTTTCCTCCTCCTTTTTTCAAGATTTAGCACTTTTGCATTTTATCTCCCAGAAGCCAGACCCAATGAATTCAGTAGAACTTGCTTCCAAAACCAAGTATGCATTGGATTGAAGTTTTAATATTTCTACAACAAGAACTTTTCTTAATTGTAGAAACCACATTTTTCAAGTATTTTACAACATTTAGGTTTATAATAATATTAACCTGTTAAAAACTAAGACATCTCAACCATGGTCCCTAACTACATCAGAACATCACAACAAACTGAGTAATGATCATTTTCATTTAAAGTATTCTTCTGAAAACCAAAGCTCAGCTGGAGGGCTAGACACCTTCTTCAGGGTACATTTATTCAGGAATAGATACAAATATTTCTTAGTTGCACCTTGCAGGAAAAATACACAATACCCCATTTTGTAAGGAGCAAATGATAGCGCATTTTGTATATGTTACAAAATTTGGCCTAAAAATTCCTTCTCTTTTCTATAGCTATATCACCAGCCTGTGGACGTTATGGGCAATAATCGGCTATGACAGCCTTTCATAACCTTGTGCCTTCCAGACACATTTGGACTGCAACACCCAGAATTTCTACTCAATGGCCCTGCTGGATGGGAATTCTGGAAGTTGTGGTCCAAATGTCTCTGAAGGCCACCAGGTTGCGGAGGGCTGGACCATGGCGTTCCACTAGTGCCTGCAAAGCAAATTTGTGGCCCATGCAGCAGGGCTTAATAGGGAAGAAAAGAAAATGGGGAAGTCCCATCAAATAAGACAGTTTCCCTTGCACTAGAAAACATTAGTTTCCCCTTGTGCAATCAAAAGCATGTTCTATCATACTGTCTCCAAGCACAGTGATTGTCATTAGGTAATAAAACACATTCAGATTCAGTAATGAACAGTGCCTACCACATTTGCTTTACAATAAATGAATGAATGAATGTTGCTCTCTAAGTGGCACATTTCTATACTCCATGAGACAGCAAAAATAGCAGCTGTTCAAAAGAGAAGAAATGGGTTAAGCTCTGGGTTTCAGCTCTTAGTTCTTTGTCCAGATTTCATTGTCCAATGAATATGATCCATTAAGGTCAGGATTCCAAACATAGTTACTGAGAAGTTAAGCCCCAATGAATTCAATGGGGATGTTCTTTTGAGAAAACAGTGTGACAAGTTACATTTCACTGTAACCTGGAAGTACACTTAATAATTAGATAAAAGCTTATAGAGTCATATGGTTCAAGTAACTGGTTTTCAGCTCTGCACTTCATTTTTCACACTGACAGGCATTTGTTATAAAGCTGCAATTCAAAAATAAATACACCCAGCAATATGGGCATTTGGTTAAAATATATCCTCTTCACCAGGTGCCTGGGTGTGCACAAAAGTTTAAGAAACACATACTGAAATTATCATGGTTTGTGAAAGATGCTAACAGTATTGAGAAAGTGAGAAATCTCATTAAAAACTTTCTCAAAGTATCTTTGCTGGAAAGACCGTAGGTATGCTGTTAAATACTGTTTAAAACAAGGCCAATAGCATGCACACACTTTCAGCAGCTACCAGGATTCTTCATATCTGTGTTTGCTGAACATACCTTACATTCCATGCAGTAGTGAAATCTGGGTTCAGTAGCAGCAATGTACAGGTGATATCTATCAATTCTAAAAACAAAAGAAGAAACCCATCAATAGCTTTATGAGTTATTATTTCTTAGACCTTCATTCTTTGCTAAACCAATTATGTGATACTTGCTGCTAATGCATTCTATGGACAAATATGTAAAATTCATAAATGCATTCTTGGAGCAGAGGTGGGCAACTAGGGGTAGTCTAGGTGCCAATTTCCCAACCCACCAGAGGCCACTTTCTCCAAGCTGCTGCACCTGTCCTGCAAAAACAACAAACAAGCAAACAAAAGGGGCAGGAGAATGATGACAACAAGCTACATATATTCCAAGCCTCTGTGGCTTAGAATGAAAAATTTATCTTGCTTTCAAGTTGTATTTGTCCATTCTAAGCCTCTGTGGTTGAGTGGCAAGCTGCAACATTTTCTTTTTTAAAGAAAAAAATAGCATAGCATGTGGGGCACTGCGGGGTGGGGGGGATGGCCATGGGTAGTCCTCATGCTGTGTCTTGAAGTGATAAGATCTCCAAGGGTTTCTCTGGTAATAAACAGACAAAATGGGAATAATGTGCTTATTTTGGAATTGGACTCAAGCAGGGCTCCACAATACACTATGTCACTTCCTGTGCCACACCCCATTTCAGCTCATCTGTAAAATTTGCAACTACTTTAGCAGTAGAAAAAGAAGAAAGTGAATACCCTATAGCTACCGAACAGGATGGGATTCCTTTCTCTTTCCAAATGACTCTGATGACTGGTCTTGCTACAGACTAAAGAGTTTCAGTGCTAAATAGCTCCCAGCTTAGCCTATCTCATGGGGTTATTGGGGGGTTAATGCAGTATTCTGATCTCTTGAGGGGTGGAATACCAGTGTATCAAACCAAAAGGTGTGCACTACATCATATCCTATGGCTCCCACTCCCTTCCTAAGCAAAATGTACAATTACTTTGAAAGCATTAGCTGGTGAGGGGAGACTACAGTTATTCAGCAAATTTGAGTCAAATGGTTGCTTTTAGGGCAGCAATTCTATTGAAAAGCAAATGGCTTTCCTAGAGATGAAACAGTTTTAACTTGAGGATTGGCTGGCTGTTAGAAGAGCCAGCAGTTAGCAGCTATTAAGAATTTGGCTCTAGTGGAATAAGAATAAATTGCAGTAGAAAAAATTGCATTTTTGTTACTCTATTATATAACATAAAAGCTACTGATAAACTGTGGGTTTTACCAGTATGATTTATGTTCCCCCAGGAAATTCCAAATGCCCATTCTTTGCAGCCTTATTCATCCATTTGTGGTAACATCTAAGGAGTTCTTCTAACATTATATTCGCACAAATCATTCCTATACCACAAAGTTAAGAATCCATCTGCCAGCTCACGATCTTACCGTGTTTCCCCAAAAATAAGACCGGGTCTTGTATTAATTTTTGCTCCAAAAGACACACTAGGGCTTATTTTTAGCTGCTGTCTTATTTTTTAATGTACAACAATCTACATTTATTCATTTTTTCATGTACAAACATCTACATTTATTTGTGTACAAAAATCTACATTCATTCAAATACAATCATGTCATCTTCTTCTGGAACATTGTTATAACTTTCCAAACCTCAAATTGTGTTGCAATGGGCATACTAAATGTGTCCCTCTGGCTGATGATCTTAACTGGGGCTTATTATTTTTTAGGGTAGGGCTTATATTATGAGCATCCTGAAAAATCATGCTAGGGCTTATTTTCTGGTTAGGTCTTATTTTCGGGGAAACAGGGTAGGTTACCCTAGTCTCTAGGCAGAGCAACACTAGCATGGTTAGCAACTTCCACATCAACTACTCCCTGCAGGGTGGAACTTCTGGCACTGTGTAAGTGAAAGGGCAACAGCTCCTCCCATATTGCTTTTTTGATATGGGAAGGGGCCGATGACCTTCCCAAAGTTCAGGCAAAATGCAGATAACAGAATGCTCCCTCCCCATGGAGTCAGAGGTACATGGTGGCAGTTTCCCAGCCTCTCCTGTATAGGCCTCTTGTGTCTAAAATTCCCCCACTATATGAACTGCTGTCAACACATTGAGGATAAGTAAAGATATGGAGGGATATGGGAACAGAGCAAGACTAAAAGAATAAACCAGGGAAAGGAAAGATACAAGACAAGGAGAAGCAGAGAAGTGAGAAAAGAGGTGGTAACAGACAGAGTTGTAGGGGCCTTTGTGATGGGAACTCACAAGAGAGGGATGGAAGTACAGACTGGAGGGAAGAAAACAGGTGAGGAAGTTCAATGGTAATTTCTGGCAAGAGGTGCTTCAGGACTGTCCACAAGTTCAGCAAATGCTGAACTAGAGCAGAAAGCATCAGAAGATTTCTAGGATCCAACTCCAGATGGATGGCTTGGTCAACAACCACAAATGGAGTTGTCTCATGGAGAGTCATGCCAGAAGGTTGAAGCATGAGACTGAGGTGCTGAAAGGTGATTGTTTGACATTTACAAAGGCCTTTTACCCCCCATGTGAGACATTTCATTATGACTATACTATCTGTGGGCAGACAGACATGAGCTAAGAACAGCTGAGGAGTGCTCCTATGAACTGACATGTTTGTGAGGGAATTAGGAAAGTCTATTCCTCACTCATTTGTAGGACATGGGATTCCAGAAGTGACAAAGCTACAGTTATGTTGCACTGAAGCCTGTCAGATGAAGAAGCTACAAAGATTCAGTCATCCATATATGGACAGATGACAACTTTGTTTCCAGAGAGCCCCCACTACTTTCTAGTACTCCAGGGCTAGCCTGAATGGGACATTTAACTAGAACTGTCTATTGCCCAGGGCAAATCTAAAACAACAACAACACAAAGCATAGAGAACAGAGAGGTGAAATTGTCACAAAGGTTTATCATAGAGAACTAGCTTCCCCAACACCGAAGGGAAAAGATGGAGGAGAGTAAAGTTGCTGTTACTGACAACTGTTGCAAATGCATTTAATCTGCTTGTAAAGGTATGTGTGTGAAAGTACTGAATTAAAATAATTGAAGGCCTTACCTTGTTATAGACTTGTCTCATTTAAATGGAACAAAGGAATGAAAAACCTTCCAATTTCACTGTAATCATAGAAGTAAACCCCCCAGATGATTCCCATGGAACTCTGGAGTTCTGGGAAACACAGTTTGAATACTACAACAATAGAACAATAGTTGTCCTGCCCCAAGATTGATTCTTGGAATGAAGGACAGCAAGTGTTTCTGGCTTAGGAACGGGTGGTGTTTTACTTCAAGGAGCTATTTAAGTTGCTTGGGGTATAGCACCTGGTAGCATATGCTCCCAGAGTATTGGCCAGAATACATCCTGAAAGAAGTTAGCTGGAAGAGGAGGACAGAGAGGGAGTGGCAAGCTAGTAAATGCAGGGTCTGTGACAGCTCACAGTAGCAGCATGCCATGTGGCTTGGATACTCTGTGAATGGGCAGATGTGCCTGTGAACATTCTGCACGAGGAAGATAAGTCACAAGGATGGTAATGATAGGCATTTCTGTCTGTACAGTCACAATACAGCAATGAGGAGGAGAGGTTCAGCCATGGCAAAGAAGGGTTCTCATAGCAGTAGATGTAGGGTGTATATGAGCTTCCCAAGGCTTATCATAGGAACACCAGGAGGAGCCAAGAAAGGTGGTGAGGTCTTGTGGTAGGTAGGGGATTCAGCCTTGCATGGAGAATATCGCATTCATATCAACCTGTTATACTGACTATCATGGAAGAGATATTGCAGAGATCTCAGAGAAAACAGGGGGTAAAGACAGACAGAAAGACAAAGCTTTCTGCTCAGCAATCCAGGAAGGAATATGAACAAGGGTTTTTTTTGGGGGGGGGGGTTAATGTCTGTACGTTTTTAAGTGATGCCATGAGGCAGACAACATTCCAAATTCCAAATTGCTGCAGCAGACGAAAAGGAACGGAGAAGAAGGAATATAACATGCTGGAGCATTTGCAGAAGAGCTAGAAAGGATTCCCACCAATACTTTGTTCATCTCTAAAATATTTCAAATTACAGTTCCACACAGGCATATAAGCCACTTGTATGAGTCACAGAGATCATGAAAGAGAAACAGCAAAACAAACAAAAGCAGCTGCAAACTCTTTCCACCAAAAATCCTTGAGAAGGGTACAATCTGCTTTCCACTTCACAAAGTGAAGGCAGGAACTGGTGCTAGAAAAGAGGCAGATCCCAGGTCTGTCACTGTGCAAGCATGGCTGTAAGCAGGCTCTATAAAACTAGGAATGCTGCATCCAAAGAGGACCAGTGAGGCCCTCCAGGAGGTGCCATCTGATGTGGAGGCTATTCCAGAGGAAGGGGTTTTTAAATACTAACCAAAGGAACTAGAAATGCATTCTTTTTGAACGCTCATTTAGTTCCCTCCTCTTTCAAGAGACAGGCAAATCATTTAATTTCTCAGATCCTGTTTTGCTGCAATGCTGTCTTAACTGTGTGATTGTTTGCTGATTTTTGATTGAAGGCGTACATGGATAGGCAGGACAGCTAATACTCTTCCCTCTTTCTTTCTGCATGAGAAACATGGTTTGGCTGTTTCAATGTAATTGCCTTTACTTTATAATAGTTTTGACTACAGGTATCAATTTTGCATAAGCATTTTACCAATGAAATTGCTTTGTTGCGTGTTATCTCGAAAAAGTCTTCATGTCCAAGTTAGCAAAATGAATTTGGAACCTTAAGCAACAAACAGGGTGTCCCCAGACCTCAGAGCAGTTCTTTTCCATGATTTATGTTTGAGGCATCCAAGTAGCCTCAGCAGCATTAGTCCTTACTAGTAGACTCAACTGCCAAAATTGGCTTAGCCTGAGTGTTTTACATTCTGAAAAGGCAGCAGTTTAGCAGTAATAAGAGAAGAGGGAGAACCCAAGAAATGGGTCTCCCATATGAAAAAGGACATTTTCAACCTTCCCCTCTTCTTCCTGTGAGCAGGGCCACTTTGTGGCATAAGGCTAGGAAAAGTTGGGGTGGGGCAGCACTGAAAACCCAATCCAAAAGAAGGCAG